ATCTGTCCCCCAAAAGTTCTAACTCCATTGGCAATCAAAGTCTGCGAAATAAGAACCTCTGATACAACACCAGTAGCTCTGACTGCTCCCTGTATTAACTGCAGAAATTGTCTACCAAAATTCTCATCCAATGCAACTCCGGTAGACTCTGACTCAATATCCGTCGCTCCTATGATCGGTGTAGTCATGCCAATACCAGCGGCAGGAGGTAGATTCGTTGGGGTCGTAAGAGCATGATCACCTATCGGAGGTGGGGGATCTACCCGTATCTCATCGATCAGATCTGCAAATCTAGCCACTCGACCTCGTCTACGGCTAGTTCGACGACCACGTCTAGCACTCATTTTTATGGATATCAAGTTTACTACAGAAGATAAAACTTAGAGTTAGATAAGAACTTGGAGTCTCGAACACAGTTAAAATCTTAATAACTTTGTGACATGGCCTTTGTAACTTGTTTTGTAAAATATTTCAAAACCGTATTTTCAATGTGGACTCATACACAGTCCGAGGGTTAAAAACCAAAAGCTCTGATACCAATAAATGTAACCCTTTAGACCCGACCTATGCGTTTGACTAAGTCTAGTGGATCACATTATGATTCTTAAAGACATTTTCTGAAACCGTTATTCAATCAATGTAAAATCACATTATAAATGTCATAAAATAAATTATACCATCAAAACCAAACTTGTAAATATAATACTAATAAGTAATAAATTAATTTAAAACATGTCTTCAAAATCAAAATCACAATAAACCGAACAGTAATAGCAAAAGTGTCATCATCCTAAAATACGATACTTTAAAATAAGGTCCATGTCACCAAAATAAAGTCAACTAGCAAGATAAAACATTACAATCAGATATACTTCAAGAGATATGTTGGTCCTCCAACTGCTCGAACCGATGTATCTAACCAACAGTATCTGAAAAGGGGAAAAACATTTTCTAAAAGTGAGCTAGGCTCAGTGTGTCTCAATATTACCTTAAAATCACAATATGTACATTAAACAAATCATAGTCCAGTAAATCTCATAAATTCATAAAAGAGTTTAACTTTTGAAAATCATAGTTTAAACTCTTTTCTTGTACACCATCAATAATTTCCAAAACTATTTTCCATATAGCTTACTCTAAGCACACAACAAATAGAAAGCCAACCTAAGGATAAGCTTTAGAGCTTGTATCCTTAAGCCCGTAAGTCCAAGTCCATATAGCTTACCCTAAGCACACAACAAGGGAAGCCAACCTAATGCATCTTGGGGCCCCAAGAGTCACATTAGGCCCATTCTGTTTATTAGCTTGATAAGAGCTATACTATTGTAATTCAATCCAAAAGTTCAATTACACCGTGACACAAATTCCATAAATCATCACATTAAATTGGTGCATCAATAAAACAATAACCAAAGAACTCAGTGTACCTCATATTAAAACCAATAAAACAGTTCAGTAATAATTAGGGAACACACCTCGATAATAGGTTCAAATAGTAGATCTACTGATTTCTGGTTTCACCACGCTCTGCTACAGTTTTCGAACCTATTTTATAATAACACTATATTACTTATGGGTAACATAAATAAATCTCTAAAATCATAAAATTTACGGGTCTTACGGGTGAATACTGGCACACGTGGTTTAATTGATCTAGAAGAGCTGGGTCGAGCTGTCGAACGATCCGGAGCGTCTCTTGTACCTTCAAACAATAATAATTTATCAGCCCCAAATCTTACTTAATTGTTCAAAGCTAAATTCTTAAGTATATAAGCATTTTCAGGGTTTGACTATCAATTTGGAGGATTTCGGGTTTGAATTTGGCCAAACGGATTGCGGAATCGGAATCAGGACGTCGAAAAACATAAAGTATGTCTTTTCGAAAATTTAAATTCTTGGTCAAAGTCAAAGTCAACCACTTTGACCATCAATTTGGAGGCCTTCGGGTTCGAATTTGGTGAAACGGACTTCGGAAACGGATTCGGGACGTCGAAAACTATCATAGTAGGTATGGTATACTCGGAAAATATTTACGGTCGTTTAAGGGTAGGTCAAAGCCATTTTATGTTTTGGTCAAAGGAAGTCAACAGTCAACGGTCACGGTCAACAGTCGGGTCGGTCAGACCGGTTCGATCTGGTCGAAACCGCTTTTCAGCCACTCACTCTCCATGCGGCGGCGCATGTGACGCGTGAGGCCTCCTCCGGGGGTCTAAAAATTACGGAAAAATTTCTAAAAATTATTTTGAACGATTTCGAGATACTTACAAAGATCGGTTCAAATTTTTGAACGGCGGAGAGCTCGATTTCAACTCGGCCGAATCTTTGACTGCTCCACCTCCTCACGCGCCGCCGTCGACGGAGACCAAGGTTGACATCGGCGGACTCGAAACGGCACAAGGAACACGATGGTGCGGGAGGTGTCGAAAACTGATCAACGATCGTAGATGAATTTAAGATTTTCTCGGCGGTAGTGCTAAAAAAATGTCGAGACTTTGACTCGAAATTCACGTCGTGTGGCAGCGTTTCGCTATAATTGATTTACTGGGTTTTGTTCACGGGTCGAAGATGAACACGACGGTGGTTTCAATTTTACGATTGGAGGTCGAACGGCGTCGGAAACGGGCTTGGAATTAAGGGTATAAGAGGAGGAAATTTGAGCAATTATCATTTGTGTTTTCTGGTTTTAACCAGAAAACACGCTTATAACACCAATCCTGCCGACAATTTTAGGGGAAATTTAGGGTTTGGTTCATGAATTTCCTTTACTTCGAAAATGGCCTACAAGTTTTCATAAATTTTAATTTAGTCACTTAATTTCACCTAATTACACCAATTTAAATTGTTTTTTTTCTCGGGTTGTTACACAGTTTGCAAAAGCTTGATCTTTGGACGATACTCACATGCATGTTGCTGGACGTAATACTCAAGGTTTCGTTTGAGTTGATGTCTTTTGCCTTACTTCACAAAACAGAACAAGAGATTTATTTATATTTATATACCAACAGTAATATTTTACACTATTTTATATTATTAAAAAATTGACGGACACGTGACAACTTGATTGAATCGAAATTGCTTAGTTTGAAAACTTCATTGACAGGTATATATTGTATGATAATTTTATATCTTTAATGATTTGTTTTCGCTTGCAGTTGTAGGTAATAGGGTTATCGATTTGTCAGCTTAGAAGATAGAAATCATCAGCAAAATTATAAACCAAGTCAACCAAGACACATGAAAAATCATATTAAATATCACAATTTTAATAAAATAAAGTAAAAGCAGAGTTTACTTCTTCTTCTTTTTCATTGAAAGCATTTAATATTGACTTAATTTGATGTTCTAAGAGTTGTTTGACTTCGGCATCCTCAGGAAACATGTATCCCAACTGTCAAATTTATTTATTTATGTTTAAAGAAGGAATTGGTTGGAAGTCAATTTTGGTTGTTTAATTTGCCAGATAAAGAGAAGGTAAGCTTGCTTAAAGCCACGCCTTTATTTCGACACACACGCATATATATTTGTGAGTTTATGCAAGCAAAATTTATCGAATACGAATAGATAAAATCATAATCTAATATATAAAGGATGTTTTGGAAATTTTACGATACTAAATTCAAATCTCCTATTATATATCAATTTTATTTTTTCAATATAATTATTTAACTTCATATTGATTTATCAAGTTGATTTCAGTTAATTGATGTTGTATAATTATAATGATTGATTTTGATTTATATAAATATGAATTTATACTCTAAAAGATGTTATATATAATTTTTTCTAGAAAAATTCTACGATGCTCGATAAGCATAGCTTAGCACTGCTAACAATAAACATCATACACAAAAAAGGGAGATTTTGGGACTTGATCATACGTTCATTGATTTGAATACCCACGGCCAAACAACTAAGCTAACACACTATCTATGTTATGTATGCAATACAGCATTTGAAATATAAGATATTGTAATGAATGTCAAAATTATAATAATAATAATTTTAACATTTTTATTAAAATTTAATCTTTTTAACAATAATTTATAATATATTGTCTCAAATGCCAAAAAATAAATAATAATTTTAACATTTTTATTAATAATTTCATATATATATATATATTAATTCAATTTATTTTTATTAAAAAATAAATTACTTTTATTAAATATATGTATATAATTATTTATAAAATTAAATTATTTAATAAATTTAAATATTTTTTCATTCGTTACAATATATATATATACTGAATGTTGCATTACATTGCAAAAAGAGTGGGTTAGCTTGGTGGTTTGGGTGTGGGAATCCAACTTAATGGACATAGGTTTATATTTTTAACTAATTTATAATTATACGTTTAGTCTTTTAAAATTTTAAATTTTTATGAATTAAATTAGTGATGTTCAACGGTGCTCATCGTTAGTGGTGTTTAACGGTTCGACGAGAGTACTCGTTGAACGTGACAGACTCATTCTTTTTCAATATGATTGTTTTCTTTCTTGCTTAGAAAATATAACTTAGTTGAAGTTAAATAAATTAATCAAGTTGGACTCTATTATATTATTGAAGTAAAGTCAAGTAAATAAGGGAATGATATCTCCTTTCATACTTTAGTTATATATAAGTTGGGAGACTATCACATATTTCACCAAAGTTTCAATGTAAATTTAAAATCAATCCTAAGGACAAATTATCTTTAGGGGAAAGTAAAAAAAAAAACATATATATCACCTTTTAAAAAAAAACTAATCATTGATAAAAAAAATTATGATGTTGATCCCTTACCATATTCAGATTCAAAATTTAATCCCCGTGTTTTAATGTGCTATAACAATTTGGGACAATTTTTATTGATTGAGTGCAAGTTCAAATTTAGTCAAAAAAGGAAGAGAATTTGAAAAATATAGGAGTCATGTTGCACAATGATAACATGAATTCCGGCTTCTACTTTTTTTCTGTGTGAAAAAGAAATGTAAAAAGCTTGAAAATTACAACAGTACTCCCTAGTAATCAAATAATATATTGCAAAAATAAAAAGGATCAAATGGACTACGCAGCACATTGCATTTGCATAAGTTCACACAACGAAACCCAAAACTGAACACAACTTTGTGCACTCTAACACAAGCATCTCGATCCTCTCGATAAATTGCTGTAACAAGATCATCCGATGCGTGTGTCGATAACAATTTGTAAAGCGGCCTTAAGATGAGAAAATCTCCAACTTACACTGTAATTGCATCCTACACACGAACAGAAATAATGGTGCCATTAGTGGAATGACATACCTTGGCAGTCAAGTTTGACATTGCTAGGTTGAACTTTTCTTTGGTTTTTGTACCGTCAACCTGCCCGGCATTTGCAAAGCACCGTTTAGCCAAGCTGTCCCGGCAGTTACGTACCTGTCCAGAATAAAACACGAGGACAAAGGTGATTAGAAGGATGGTGACCCTTTTTTCCCTCTCGTTATTGTCTTGGAAGCAGTGTGACTGGACTTGCACCCGTGCTGAAAGGAGAAATCGTACCTGCTAGATTTGACTGCAGATCCTGTGTGTTTAGTTTCCTCTGCTGCAAATATTGCAGCCATTGTTTTATCCGACACCTGCAACCTTTGGTCCACAGATTTTACTTTCTCATTAACCGCTGAGATTCCCACAGTCAGTTTCTCGGTCAGCCCGACTCTCCAGTCAAACGAAATGACCTTGGTAGATGCGCTGGTTCTCAACTGATGTTTCTCGTCAAATGCTTTCGCTTTGTTTACTGCATCTTGTCGTATGGCTGAAACTTTGGCCAAGACACTAGCGACAACATTTTGTGCCCTACTAACATACATTCTTCCACTGCTAGGTGGACTCATTCTGCCCTGCTGAAATACACCGATAACCCAAATCATAAACTAAATTATTAAGCATATCACGGAAGAAAGACAGGAATTCAGCATGTCAAGCATTAACAATAGAATCCGCAAGTCCAGTTTAAGGAATAAACCACACTTTTCTTTTTCATTAACCTCCAGTCTGTGCAGCTAGGAAACAATTCTATGCAGAATAAATTTAAAACCGGTACCTCATCATTTGATGCACTATGCCCAGCAGGAGAAACGGACATAAGGTCGTCTGCTGCTCTTGATTCCTACACGGGTTGTTATAAAAAAATTAAGAATTTCGGTAAACGTAAACTAAACATAGAAAGCAAAACCTCTCAGTCGACTTACATGAATCTCGAATTTTGGTACATAATTTTCAGCAGAAATTATGGTCACAATCTTGTCAATGAGTGTTGCTCCCTGCAGAACAAGATTCAGAAATGTTACTTCATACAGTCATTTATGCAGTTCAGTGTTGTCTTTAAAAGAACATAGATTTCTAATCAACAAATGCCAGACTTCATAGAAAAGAAAAACATAAATTTTATACTTCTTGTCATTAGTTGAATTTCTTTCAAGGTTTGTTAACTAATGCAGAAAACAAAAGTGCAGAAAATTCAAACAAGAGAACATCGAGAATCATGTAGCCAACGGAATTAAAGTGTATGTTCAGAAAGTTGGAAACAAGTAGGAAAGGATTTCAATTTGTCTCATCATACACGCTGAGGCATCCGATTGAAAAAGAGGGAACCGATGGAGTACTTATCCCGCAATAGGGGTATATGACAAAACCACAAGGTGATCTAATTAGATATGATACTAACAGTGAGCCATATTCCAACAACCAATAGGAAATCACATTTCTCCATTTCTGATAAAAAGAAATTTAGTTCGAATCCAACCATGAAAATACGATATTATTTCTCAAAATATTGATCATCCTGTGGAGACAACATAAATTGGAAGTTACTAAATTAGGCAACTTTTTCAACTTGACATTGCTGTACAACATACAAGTAAAGAATTACTTTACAAGCTACTTATTTCAATTCAACCAGTTCCAATAATATACACTTTAAGAAGGTACAAGCAACCAACTTCCGAGATGAATTCGCAAGGCTCGGTTCAAGCAACGAAGTTAAAGGAAAGGCATTGCGAGGTTAGCCGATATCAGAGGATTACAAGTCAAGAAGAAAAGTAAATCCATGCATCAATGGCACTCTACTAAGCAAAAACGAACAATGCAATCGGATTAAGCAGGAACCGATAACAATAAGGCGATTTCAAGCGCTTTGGGATCTTTGAATGTAACATATGCAGTCTTTAATTGGATAGTTTCACTGCAGAATCCATAAAAAAAACAGAGCGATCCAAGTTAACCAGAAAAATCACTACATTTTTCTGTTAAATTTCCAATAATAAAATACAACATAAAAACTCCATACAGGTTTACCTTCCAGGTTGGTTTCCATATAATAAATTATATAAAAAAGTCAAGTTTCAATTTAAAAAAATTTGGCCGACAAAAGGAAGACCCAAGATCCAAAATTCCAGTTTTTTTTCGTTTTCTCAAATTTTCTCAGCTACCAAACAAATTCATCATTCACCAGCCCTTTTAATAAAAACACCAGAAAAGAAAGGAAAAGAACAACATACCTTATAATTTCAATGTGCTCTATATCACCAGATAATGAAAAGAACTCATGATTCTCCCTCTCAGGGGATTGTCTCAGGAAAGACGGGTTAATATACGGCATTATCGGATATATTAAAATGTATTTAATAAATTCGGTTTAGCGGTACCTATTATGTTGATAACTAATAATGTTTTAGGTAGAAAATATGAAAAACTATTAAAAAATTTTGTAACCGGTAAACTTTGGTTATCGGTAAGTATCTATCCTTTTTATAAAAGTGTCCATACTTTTAACATATCAAGTAAATTTTACCGGTTTTTCATAATGAATCTGATTTTGTCATATTTTTACATGTTATATTGTAAAGTATCTATCATTTTTATAAAAGTGTTCATACTTATTTCACTGTGAAAATATATTTATTATTATCTTTGGTTAATATTGTTAAATTTAAATTCTAAATAATATTATAAAATATCAAAACAATCAAATAATTTTTGTGTAAATGAAATTATTAAATTAATATTGTAGGTGGAAAACATGAAACACTATAAAAAATTGAAACTAAATTACATAACTTTAAAAAAAGTATATATCATTTTATAAAAGTGTCCATACTTATAAAAGTAGGTCTAAGTCATGAAGAAATATTAAAAATTGTGCTACCGGTTCGTGTCGATCCAAATTAAAATGTGTCGATCCAAAACGATATAAAGGTAAAACTATGACAAACTATAGAAATGATAAAACCGGTAAAGCGCTATCGGATACATTTAAAGTGTCAGTCTTTAATATAAGGATCGACACTTCGTGAATTTAAAAGAGAAGCAGTTTTAAATCCTATAAAGTATCAATACTTTTAAAAATGTATCGATCCAAAACGATATACCAGGTAAAAATATGATAAATCGGTATCAAATAATAAAACCGGTAAACGTTACCGGATATATTTAAGTGTCGATACTTTATAAGGTCGACACTTTGTGAATTTAAAAGAGAAACAGTTTTAGCGCCTATAATCGATACTTTAAAAATATATCGATCCACAACGATATAACAGGTAAAAATATAAATCGTATCAAAATGATAAAACCGGTAAAATGATACCGGATATATTAAAGTGTCGATACTTTCATAAGTACGTGAATAAATTATCGACACTTTCAAAGAAATAGGTAATTATCCTTTCGAAAGTATCGACACTGACATAAATATCGACACTTTTGTATTGTACGATTAATAAAATAACATATCCGATGAAAATATAAGCTAAATATCCTCTGAAATAGATAGAACGGACGTTTTTGAAATCGAGCGTAATTGTTGCTGCATTTCAGAAGGCGTTCTAAAGCGAAGTTTGTTTGTTTGTTGCTGCAGTCGAATCGAAAAGTATGTTGTCGAAACCCTAATTTTTATTATTACAGTAATCGCGATAGGGTTTTTATGTGTTGTTTGGGTTTGGAGTAAAGAAGCATTTGGGACCGATTGCAGGTAGAAAGTGATATTCAAAAAATATAAATGTCGATACTTTTATTAAATATTATAGTAGAAATGATATTATAGGTTGTATAAAGTGCCGACACATTTTGGTGTGGCCATTCAAATTCTTTTGAAGAAACCGTTTTACCACAAAGTAGTTATCTATATTTTATATTGAATAAAGTGTATGTAACAAAATAATTGATTTGCGTAAACTGATATATGAAGGAAAATGGAGTCAATGGTTGGAAAATGTTGGGGAGCAGATGACTTTGAAATTGTGGCCGAGACTCGAAAGCAACCAAAGGGTGGATATGTACTTCTAGTAAGTATCAATGTCTTTTGTTATTATTGTTGAAATGGTAATTGGATTAAAGTATCGATAAACTTTAATTGATTACAAATTTTAAATGTTGACAGTATGGCCGAATGCAAAAGGAAGGAAGATGGCACACAGAGCGGTTCGGTATAAATGAAATTGACATTGAGTAGTATTAGTGTTAATGTATTGATTAAACGTTTATGTTTTATATTAGGTGACAAAAGATGTGAGGTCCAAATGGAATTCAATGAGTGATGCTGAAAATGAACCTTACATCACAAAATCAAGGAATGATAGTAAAGAATACAAAGAACGGAGGAAAGCACATGAAAATAAGGTATTCATTAAACTTGTAAATACGTTGATACAAAATATATAAGAACTATAACATATATTGTAAAAAGTAGGAAGTGTCGACAAGATGCAGCATTAAAAGGTGAATTTAATTAAACACCTTAAGGAGAAGGGTCAGTGAATGTGCTGGGAGAAAGGTTTTGGATAGGAGTAAGGGATCGCCTATTCGGAGGGAATTGTGTTAATCCTTGATGGCGCAATTTGATGTCAGACAATGTATTGCTAAATATGGTGATTTTTCATTTCCTCTCGGGATCCCATGCTGCAGCGTATTGGGGTAGAAAATGAAGGCAAAAGTTGTAGAAGTCTGTAAGAGTAAGGACTGGAAAGCACTTGCCTCTTAACATGGTTTGAAGCATAAGACATATGCTGAAATTGAAGAGGAAATAAAAAGTGGATCTTACGTTGGATGAGCTGAAGGCCAGAGTTCTATTATACCTTGTCGGTATCTTTCTTTGTCCAACGGGTAATACGTCAACGAACAAAGAACATATGAAGCTCATTTGTGATGAAGGCTTGAAGGGTGAATTCAATTGGGCTGATATATCCATTCGAGATTGATTGAATCAATAATCACCTTTAAAAGGGCAGCCAGAGATACCTCAAGGGTGCATAGCATCTTAGGTAAATGAGTTGAAGAACTTTTTTGTGTTTTTATAAAAATATAAATTTTATTATAAATGCAGGTTGCACTGTGCGATTTTGGTCAGGCTGTGAGGCTGCCGGCTTATGAAAGAACCGGAGTGGCACGCATCCGTGCATGGGGAAGGAAGAGGTGGTTAGAGTGATGGTGAAGTTGAAGTTGGATAGAGCGAAGAAGCAAGAAAGAGTAATAATGTAATTAAATAATATTAAGAATATAATCAATGTCTAATATTGTAATTTAATTTTGAATGTTATTAGCAAGGATGTAGAGGAGGCAGTGGAGGCAGAGGAGAAGAAGGAGGATGGTTGTATTGGGGGATGACGGTGAGTGGGACGACGGTGAGGGAAAACAGAGTAACTTCGACATTTTGATGTCTGAATTGGCTGATATCAAAAAAATCCAATTTGAAATCATGCAAAGACAATCAAGAGTCGAAGAGAAACTTGATAGAGTCGAAGAGAAACTTGAGAGTCGAAGATACACTTGAGAGGCATAAGGGGTAGTGGAAGGAAAAGTAGATGAAGTGGTGAAAGAAGTAGAGGTGTTGAGGGGTGAAGTGGTGAAAGAAGTTGGGGTGTTAAGGGGTGATATTAAGATGGTGACGGGTGAAAAATTTGAGGGAGTGGTGAAGGTTGTGGAATTGAGTGAACTTACGGGGAAGGGGTGGTTGATAAATACTTGGATGAAAGAGATCAATTGAAGGGTGAAATAAAAGAGATGAAGCTATGTAAAAAAAATACGATGAACTGAAAAAATATGAAGAAGAAAAGAGGGAGGAAGAAGAAGATGGAAGAAATGAAGAGGAAGGAAGTCGATGTCATTTATACACCGGAGAGTGTTATAGCAGATTGGATTCGGAATGTCCTGCACCCCAGAAGAAGAAGCAGAAGGTAAGTTGAATAAAGAAAACTTAATTTGATTTTTATTATGTGTGTGACAAAATTTGTATGCAAAATTGTAGGTTGAAAAAGCGGATATTCCAAGCGGAATTGATGACATCGAAGCTGCAATTTGTGATTATTTATGGAATAGTGAGTTAGATCGGAGTAAGTGAAATATGCTTTGAGTTATATTTAATATTTTATGACAACATATTAATCCTAATGATTCATACAGATATTCTGTAATCTCAATGGGAATCAATTCGCTAGTGTATACGTTGCAACGTTGAAGCCTACGGAATGGGTTGGCGGTGTGGTAAGTAGAAAGTAGAAAATGTTAAAACTTATTGAATATGTTCTGATTGTGTAATTAATTTTGTTAGGTTATTGATTTGCTCGCCTGGACAGTATGCTACGATTCTCAGAAGTCACTCCGGAGGATTGGCTACCTTCCATACCACTTAGCGGTGAGTTAAATTAATAATGGAGATAAGTAGTTATAGACGGTAAATTAATAATGTTTGTTGCGTAATTGCAGCAGCAGGCGTTGGATGCCAACATCAAAGAAAGTGTTGAGGGTATTGCTACCTTCTGGGGTCCCATACTGAATAACTATGTGAAATTCACCGACTGTGAGAAGGTAAAACACCATACCAATTGCAAATGATGTTTTTGGATATAGAATATTGAATTTTGTCAAATTGGGTGTGAAATTTGTTGCAGATCATGATCACAATAAACTACCATAATTCACATTGGTATCTGTTGGTGTTGGATATGGTAGATCGTGTTGCAACATATGATATGTTACAACTGAAGCAGCTAAACAGAGAGTGAAGGATGCTAAGATTGGTATGTATGTATGTATGAAAGGACATTATATAAATTATAATGCATAATTTTTTTGGATCATAACTTCTTCTATTTTAATGCAGATTAAAATATTAGATTCTTATAATAAGAAACGCATTTGGGTTGAATCTTGTGGATCTCTATGAAAGTATCCCTTGAAAAATTTCAAATTTGTGGAGCATAAGAAGAATACGCAATTGAATGGGTATGAGATGTTATCACAAATAGAAGTCTTAATTTATGCAGTATTCATCATAATTGACATGTGTGGTTTTCAAATTTTGTAACAGACATGATTGCGGCATGTATGTGAGATGTGGATGGAATCGATCGGTTCTACAGGGGCAACTGGTGATTTGTAAGTGGAAAGAAAAATTCGTTTGTGGTAAAATTTTAAAAGTCGTAGATTGAATGCTGTAGTTGACAATACTTAACGTTCTGACAATTGAATATAGGTTGTTGGAGAGATCGATCGCAAATAAACGATCTCGTAACCACAATCAAAATGAACGAAGAAGGAGATAAAAAAGCTGATAAGAACAAAGGATGCAAATGTAGTAGGGTTAATTTTTTAAGATTTAATTTTGTATACGATTTTAATTTTGTATGTGAATATAATTATGAATGAGATGAAAAGTTAGCAGTATGTTGTTGTACATGTTTCTTATACACATTAAGGGTCATGTTGATACTTTAAATTAAAAGGCAAATTTACAATATGGCCAACATGTTTCTTTCTTTTCTTATAATACGTTTTCATATAGTTTTTGACTTAATTGTATTGTTTGCATGATAACTATACATATATTATAATATTTTCAATAGTTTTCAAAATCATTCCCATTAAGATTCGGTTTAGAGAACCTTGAATTATTGAGGACTCAATTGAGTTTGGGATTGATTATTGTGCATACATGCTTTTCAATTTGCAGGTTACATTCCTTATTCCGAATCTTTAAACCATGTCAAATCCTAAACGCCCTAGGACCTCATCTAGTCGTTTAAACCGGCCTCCTAATCTCGTTCCTCCTGCACCTACATCTCTTATAGGATCTTATTTTGATATGCCTGAACGTCGTAGAGACGACTTGTACCATAGGTACATGGAGTCTTTCCAATCTTATAGAATCCGGGAAGAGCGTATTCCTTCTCTTCAAGTCATGATAGATATTGACTTCGAATACCTTCTGATTCTTAAAACTTGGAAGTTTGATAAAATGTTTTCACCTCAAACCTATAGTCTATCATCAGTTAGTCCACATTTTCTACTCTAATGCAGTATGTATTCAAAACAATACTCAATGTGGGACTATAGCAATCAGATCATAACTTTTAGGATAATATATTAATATTGACCCCGAGACTATAGCTTTCCGTTTTGGGCTAGATGATGACGGGTTATATAATGAGAATGAAACTATGGAATATCCCTATGTTCCAAATGCTAGTGTTAGTACTCTACGATCTCATCACGATCGTTTTCTTCATTTGATGATCTCTTGGTGGTTTAGACCATCCGGAGGTAGGTACTCCACTCTTCGTACTAGGGATTTATGGTGGATGCACTATATCAAGAATAAGAACAAAATAAATCTGCCCCACATTATATTTAGTCAACTAGTGGATACCATAAACATTGTTCCTTCAAAACATGTTGAAACATTAGTTTATGGATGTCTTCTTAGTAACCTTTTTATCAAACTCGGTCTAAACGTCTCTCTCGACAATCCCATCCCTCTCCAAAATCAAATCAATCTCACCTCGTTGAAGAAAGCGGATTGGAAACAAGATGAGGAAACCAGTCTTTGGGTCTTTCGACCCGGTAAGCAAACTCCGGGAGCGAGTTCTTCACAAGTTGCTCCTAGCTCCTCTCGTGCTCCTCCTCCGGCTCCGACTGCTGACGATGATCCCGAACTTCAACAGTTTATGCAAGATATCGACGATCACGTACCAGATAATGAGCCTGCACCGGAACCAGCTCCAAGGATCAAGTGCCTCCAATATTTTCGTTTTGAGACATTTGATCTACGGTATGCTTCCATTGAATCCCACTTGACTGCTACTCACGAAGCGGTAAATCATCGCTTAGACACTTTGGAAGCTCAACAGATGGAGTTTCAAAGGGAGATGCTTGTACGTATGGATGCTCTTACTCTTGAGATGCAAGCACGATTTCCTCCTCCTCCTCCCGATCCTTCTATGGACGAGTAGACTTTGTTTTGTTTTGGAACAACTTAGAACTTTAATTGTTAAAACATTTTGAATGCTTTTGGATTATTTTCTTTAGTTTGACGTTTGTTTGGATTTATGATTTATATGTTTGGATATTTAAGCTTATTATCTATATTTGGTTTGGTTTTAATGTTCAATTTGTGCTTAATGTTTATTAATTTTTGCACCATTAGACATATATAACCAATTATCCTTTACATGTTTATGAATATTGTTTATGAAAACTAATGGCTAATCTCTCTTTTGATTGTTACCTTAGTAACTTAAACGCTAAAATAATAACTCAATTGGCGTATATTTTTCAAACCTTGTTTAATAACGTTTTAGAGTCTTTTTGATTTAACAAAAAGGGGAAGAAAAGTGTTATAGTAAGGGGGAGTAATTTTTCAAAATTAATTTCAAAAATAATTTTCTTAAACAAATATTAAAATATCACAAATGTTTTGTTATATCAAAAAGGGGGAGATTGTTGAAAACATTTTGATGATTCGATATAAAAAATTAAGTATAAATGAATTTTAAGATTTTACAAATGATTTTCTAAGTATATTCGATTTAATTACTTGAATATCAAATTATTACTCCAAGTCTTTCAAGATCAATTTCAAACCTTACTAAATGTGTAAAATTATGTTTTATACTTAATATATTTTTGAAACAATTTTCACAAAGTATTTTGAACCAAAATCAAGCCTAAAATCAATTTTTTAAAGTGATGCACCGATGCACCAATCCATGCATCGATGCACCATGGAATAAATTGAACATCGAATGCATTTCATACATCGATGCACATACCATGCATCAATGCACTCAGGGTTTTATGAAAACATCGAATGCATTTGATGCATCGATGCACTCAGACTATTTTGAAACATCGAATGCATTTTATGCATCGATGCACTCTTAGTGCACCGATGCACTAAGGGTCCAACAGTCAAAATATTTGAATTTTACACTTGATGCACCGATATACTAAGGGTCCAACGGTCAAAATATTTGAATTTTACACTTGATGCACCGATGCACCTTGGGTATGCATCGATGCACTGACGCTCCCAACTGATTTTATTAATTGTTTTCACACTTGAACGGCTCTATTGACTCCACTAATCATCCCCAACGTTCAGAATCAATTGAATGAGTATTTAAACAAGCTTAGAAGCCATTGATCAGCAACAAGAAATAACAAGAAGCAAGAATCAAGTGAGAATCAAATAGAAAGGATCAAACTCATTGTTTGAGCACTTCAAGCCTATTTTTCATTCAATATTCATTTTGCTTTCAAGAACACTACTTGTACTCAATTGTATTCATTCTTGAGTGTTCTTTTCTTTGTTTTAGAATTGTTCAAACAATCTACCTTGTGAGGTTTTTCCTTGTAAGTTTTCAAATTTGTCTATTTCTCTTTGAGAAAGAGTGCTCTCAAGAATTGGGGTATATTCTTGAGGGAGTTGTAAGGTTATCTCTTTGGCCTCAAAAGAAAGAACAAATTAGTGAATTTGTTGGAAAATCCTTAGTGTGGATAGCTAAGGTAGTGGACGTAGACTTTGGTTGAGAAAGTCGAACCACTCTAAATCGCTGTGCAACTTCTTTCAATTTTCTGCAAAAGCTTCCACCAACTTTTTAGTTTCCAATTCACCCTCCTCTTGGTCGATTCCGTCAATCAATTAACTCAACAGGTTGTATTGCTAGCATCAAAATCACCTTTTCCATCTTCATACACAAGGTTTGTCTCTACTTTCTTTCCCTTTTTTTAGTGACTACTGATAAAGATCAACTAGATGCTTTTGAGTACAACATAGATGTAATCAATGACATTTTCCTCCAAAATGATAGCGTTTATTGGTCACATTGTTTTCCTTTTCTTTCTCATACTTGCTTCATCTTTACAATCCCACTTCCGGTGGGAATATGAGTTTCTAAAATGACCATCTTGATTATATCTATATCCACATCCACATCTGCGACCATAACCACGACCGCATCTATTACCATTGTCATTGGCATGATTTGTTTCTTTCAATTCTTGACCATTTTTAGTTGTCACATTCTCTTCATATAATGAATCAGAACCAGTTGGGCATAATTCATGATTTTTCATTAGTAGCTTGTTGTTTTGCTCAGCCACTAGGAGATAAGAAATTAATTCAGAATATTTCTTGAATTCATTTTCATAATATTGTGTCTATAGGACAATATTATTTGCGTGGAAAGTGGAATATGTTTTCTCTAACATTTCTGCATCAGTAATTTTCTCTCCACATAAATTCAATTGTGAAGTGATTCTAAATATGCCCGAGTTATAATCACTAACATATTTAAAATCTTGTAATCTTAAATTCAACCAATCATAACGAGCTTTAGGAAAAATTATAGTTTTCTGGTGGTCATACCTTTCCTTTAGATTGATCCAAATGATTTGAGAGTCTTTAACAGTCAAGTATTCAGTCTTAAGACCTTCATGAAGGTGATGTCGAAGGAATATCATGGCTTTAGTCTTATCTTGAGTTGTTGTTTTATTTCCTTATTTAATGGTCTCACCAAGACCCTTTGCATCCAAGTGATTTCAACATCTAGTACCCATGATAAATAGTTTTTTTCTAGTGATGTCCAAGGCCATAAATTCAAGCTCTGTAAGATTTGACATGATCACTATTATAATTAAAAATTAATCAATTAGGTTAATGTTGCTTATTCATATACATTCCAAAAATTGTTATAAACATGATAACAAAATCTAAAAAAAATGAATAAATTATAATTAAAATGACAAGGCATGGATAACTCTAATCCTTATGGTCAATGATAAGAAAATCAAACAACGAAACATGTTTTACAAGATAAACTAATAAATACGAGGTATCTAGATCAAATCACTATTACAAACAATAGACTTGTATATTATAACAAATCATGCAAAGTCATAAATCTCTTTACAAAGTAAGTGTCTCTTAAACAATAAATTTCAATGAAAGAAGTCATGTTCACTTTTGTTCAGCCTTGCCCAACTATATTTTCGAATCATTTGCTTTATTCCTCCAAACGATCCACTAGGTTGCTTGAAATATCCCTTTGGTAGAGCATCGTGCTGATAACATTTTTTAAAATAAACGAGAGGTATGGGAGAGAAAATAGAGATAGATGATCTATTCTTGTTTTTCTTTCTTAAATTTTATGAGAACATGAACCTCATATATATATAGGGGTAAGGAAATGCTCTCTAATAATTATAATACATATGAAGAGTCAAGTCCTTTGGCACTTCATCTTCTCAATTCATTGAAGAATACTAAAAACCACATTAACTAATGGGAATAATAATGACATCCACATAATATATTCACAACAAAATAGTTTTATTAAAAGATTAATTAGATAATATCTTAAATTGATTTATGACAATCTACGTTAATATTTTGAAATATAATGACATTATATTTATATAACTGAATGAATTGTAGCATTTAATTTAAAAAAATCATCTATTTAAATAAAAAATTAAAAAAATCAATTAAGATTTTATTTTCAAATAAGATTCGGTCATTTAAAATAAAATTCCCATGCATAAAAGGTCATATTTTAATTTTGAATTTAACTCACAATCCCTAATTTGAAGAAAAATTTAATAAATTAGATGCTAATTTTAGACGTTATGAGGTATTAAATAGTCTTTCAAGTCCATTTTTGGTTTTATAAATTAAAAATATTATTTTATTTAAAAGTGATTTTTAAAATAAAAATATTTTTAGGTTATCCTATCATACTTTAACAAAATAAAGATTATTGATGACTCCGTTTATTTTTTTTATGAAATATCTGACAGGTTTAAGGACAGGTGTAACACATATAATTTCCTTGATATATATTCATGCTTGATCTATATCACGTGATTATGTTAATATATGTGATCATAAATAATTTAACTATGATAGATATAGTAAAAATCACATTAATTTTATGTTAATATGATTAATGGACAAGATTGTTTTGATATACTTTTTAATTGTGACAATAAACCTTTGATTTCATAAGATTATCATGACATACAATTATATATATACTTGTCCAGTGAGAGATTAGTGGACTATATGGACATCACAGATATATTAAGTAAATAACAGTAAGTTATTTGGTATCATAAAAGGTTAGTCCATATTAGAGTGATATAATACAATTAAGATTAATTAAATAAGATATGAGTAACACATAGAACTAGAATTTAAGTAAAATTCTTAATTAAATAAACATTATCACCAAGTAATCTTCAACTAATATAATTATAATAAAAATCTAACTTAAGTTTTAATCAGAATTTGAATAACAACTTCGACTTTTAATTTTTATTCTTGATGATTATACATGAACGCTAATCCAATAATCTAGTAAAGAAATAAACGATATTGAGATTGTACGATAGCCAAAATCAATGGAAAGAGGAGGATGCCAAGTCAGTATTATTCCATCACATGCCAATGACCAAGAATCCCTTAAAGCAAGAAAGGGATGGACTACAAAGGAAGGACACCATATATATTCCAAAACCAAACACTTAGAATTTGAAAAGGGAATGATTCTCTTTGATGTCCATAGGAAAAGAAAGAAAATTAACCTAATCAATCAGACCAAGCAATTCTTTTATGTAATATATAAACATGTTAATCTAATAATATATATGTATTGCAATACACTTGATTCTTATCATTTTATTCACAAATAAACAGTACTGTTTCTTCCCCCAAAAAATGGCCCGTTCTTACCAAGATTTTGAGCCTGATTGCCAATATAAAGAAGGAGAAGCTCAAGACATTATTGAGTTCCAAATCAAAGGTAATATTTATATGATTTGGATGGAAATTTAAATATTTCATGCAGATGAAGCACTTGTTTGTTATGCAACACTACATTGGTCCATTCAAAATTGTTCTCAATTCAGATTTCAAGAAAGACCAGCTGAAAGTTCACTTCGGCAGTAACGGAGTCATAACGGTTTCCGGTGAACGGCCCGTCGAAGGAGGTAAATGGATCCGATTCCGGAAGGAATTCGCCACTCCTAAAGACTGCAAAGCAAACGAGATCCGGGCAAGATTCAGCTCCGGTTTTCTGTATGTGACAATACCAAAGCAGACCGTTTCTTCGAATGTTTCCCAACAGGGTCCACTTACACCAGTGCGGCAATTGACGACAGGGTCCCCATCGTCGCCTGTTCAAGACAAAGGAAAGCTAAAGCAAGAGAACAGCGTTCGCCAAAGCGGATATGTTGCCGGCGAGAGTTCTACCGGTGCTGCGGCTGAGAATGCGGTATCACGGACTCCTCGCCCCAAATTGTCTGTATGGAGGCTTAAGATGGAGGGAAAAACAGCAGCGACGATTGGAGCAAGTTTGGTGATAGTGGCGGGACTGCTGTTTGTTGTGTTATATTATGTGTTCAAGTATTATGATCCCATGAACAAGAGTGTCTAGAATTTGTTCAATGGAGCAAAGCTGATATTAAATTAAATGGATTATCCTAACATGGACTTGTACTAATTTGTTGGATTGCATTTGTATATGGAAACTTTAGTGAAATTCATTAATCGTGACCATGAATCTAACTTCTTTTATGGATTTATTTACTCTTTGCACATTAGAAGCTTGTTTTCTCAATTTTTTATTTTAGGAATTTAACGTTTTATTCTTTTAATTTAATAATAAAAGTCTAATTGATAACATCGTTTCAAAGATTTTCATTAAGTTGGAGTATACGAGTCTCAAAAAATAAAAATAACATATATTCTTAAAATATATTTAGTATGATATTGTTATTAAAGAAATAAAAGTAAATTACATGTTTGGTACTTAAACTATTATTTTTGTTCTATTTTAGTACCCAAACTTTATTTTTTTCAAAATTATACCTAACGTTTAGTTTATGTTTCAATTTGATATATCATCGTTAAAAAATTTGTTGATCTACAGACGTGATATTTTTTTATTTTTTTCAATGTTGATATAGAATCACCTTATATTGACATGCCAATATCATTGTTAAGTTTTTAACGGCGGAGTACCAAAATGAAACATAAATTAAATTTTAGGTATGATTTTGAAAAAAAAAAGGTACCAGAACGGGACAAAAGTAATACTTAGATACTAAACATGTAGTTTACCCCATAAATAATCATGGATAAAGGTAGTGGTGTCTCTAGGTGAGACTAAGGATGGGCATGGGTAGGGTTGAGTCAGATTTTTGGTCCACCCGACCTGACTTGAGAACAAAGGATCCTCCACCCGAGATCCGACCCGACCCGACCAAAACAAGATTTCACCCGACCTGATATATAACTTAAAAACCCAACCTAAATAATAAAAAATATTATTTTTATTTAATAAAAACAATGACTTAATTGAAGAAAATAATATATAGAGAAGTATTATTGTAATTATTCCTAAATATATAAGGTAAACTTATATATTTTTTCGGGTCGGGTATTTTTACCCTAAACCCTACCCGAACAACTCATTTAAAAAACCCGACCTGAACCCGAATTTTAAAAAACAACCCGATCGGCATCCCTAGGTGAGACCATGTTAGACTTGTGTACGAGATTAACATATTTCGTGTTTTTAACCCGGTTTTCAAATATGAACCTCAAATTCTATACAAGTCCGTTTGTATTTATAATTCAAGCTCGTTTTTGGTCTATTCATATTAATTTTATTTATTTATTTGAAACATATATTCATTTTTATTTTTATTTAATATTTAATAATTTATCAATTTGAAAAAATATTTATTTTATTTTAAATTTAAATATTTAATAATTTATCAAACTTTGAAAATGGTTATTAAATATTTTGAACTATTACAAAATCGTCATTACATTTATTGAACAATAAAAAAATCATCATTAAATTTTATCAAGATTTTATAAAATGATTATTAAATTTATTAAACTTTCACAATTTATTATAATGTTATAATGATCATTTTATAACAGTTCAATCAATTTAATGATTATTTTATAATTTTTGAAAGTTTAGTGACCAAAACGATAAAGTTGAGCATTGTTCAGTAACTTCTAATGCATTTTACCCTTAATTTTATTATTAAAATATTTTTTTATTAATTTATGGTGTATATAAGTGGTAATATTTGTTGTATAGACTATCAACTATTTGATAATGAATGCTCAAATACCCTACTATTTCTGATGCTCTAATATGTGACCTCTAAAAGTAACAATCATCCCTTTAATCATTGAAGTAGTTTATTTCATAAGAATATTATTTACAATAGAACATTTTAATAAGTTTATATCTCAAATAAATAAATTACGCATTTAAAATCACTCATATTTTTTAACTTTTTCATTTTGATGATTAAACTATAATTAGAAAAATCCATCACAATAGGAAAAGGTTAATACAGATTAAATGATGGAAAACTACTTTTATTAAACGTTCTAATGGTAAATAAAAATCCCAATCCAATCCCTTTAAACTGTTTTATTCTTTAAAATGCTAAGCCTTCAATCATTTCCCACATGAATGAGAAAGCTTCAATTAGACCATGATCACCCCGGCGACGCCAAAATCATCCCTAACATGACATGGAAACCAGTGGCCTTGGCAAATAATGTTGAAGCAGAGTTGGGAGCCGGAGCCGAGTCACCGTCTAGCACAGTGATCTTGAGCTTCATCCCACCGTCGCAATGGCCACTGATGCCGCTAATGTACCATTTGGTTCCAACGGTCGCCAACTTAATCGTGTCATGTCCGGTGAATGAACCCAAGCTGTTGTTTGATGGAACAGTGCATCTTTTGAATTCATCTCCGGTCACTTTGTACACATTGTGAGATCAACCCTTGTACTTGAAAACTGCAACAACAAACATAAATAAATAAATTGCAATATCATGAGTTTGAATCTTGATGTTGTGAATGAAAAAAATTGAGTTAGAAAGATCGTCCCATAATAGGGCTCTACAATATTCGATATGGATTAGTTGATCAATGGTTAAACAAAAATAGGTAAACTACCTATTTCACCACTCACCTATTACTTAGTTTCTATTTAGTTACCTAACTGTTATTTTTTTCAAAATCATTCATAATGTTGTGCTTTGGTTTTGTTTTGTTCACCATCCATTAAAAAATTAACGATGACGTTGATGTTGACGCGACATTTTTATTATTTTCAATGTTGATGTGATATTATCTTATGGTGATATATCAACGCCACTATAAATTTTTAATGACAGGTGACCAAAACAAAACCAACGTAACATTAGACATGATTTTGAAGAAAAAAATAATAGTTGTGTGACTAAAACATAAACTAAGTAATAGGTGGATGACCATGTAGATAGTTTACCCAAAAGAAATATAAGCATATGCTCAATTCAGGGAAATAAAAGTTTACCAAGAGTGTCTCCAACAAAGAACATCTTGTCTTTAGCCCAATCATCGTACTTGACTCCTAGTTTCCACCCATCATCACCGCCAACGATGTGTTCTGTAGCCGATGAGGTCACCGGAGACAACAAAGCAACAATTGCAAAAGCAACTAATGAACGATGAACGGCCATTTGATTTTAAGCTTTTGTGGTTCTAATCTTGTTTGTTTTACCGGTGTAGAAGGCTTGTCAAATTCACTACGTATTTATAGTGTTGAAACCGACGTTGGCTTCAAAAGAACACAAGAATAAAGGCAAAAAACTACACACTTTTTTAATATTTTTTTGAAATAAAATTAAGCCTTGCACGTATTGCCGGATTGGTACGAGACAATTTGCTGATTTGTAGAATTAAATTTCGCTGGATTATCTATGAAGTTTGGAGATGATTTCAATATGTTATTAGAATTATAATTATTCATCTTTGGAGTGCCATCAGTTAAATGGACAGTTCGAGAGCTCCGATGGCCGATGGATTCAATATCGTATTTTATAAGAGATTTTGGAGCGAAGTAAAGGGTGATGTTATGTCATTTTTCCGAAGAGTTTTATGATGGAAGACTGTTAGATGATTCATTCAACCACTCGTTCATTGCATTAATTCCAAAAAGGAGTGCCCCGGAAAGTATAGATGACTATAGACCTATTTCCCTCGTTGGAAGCATATACAAGATCCTCACAAAAGTATTGTCAAAGAGATTAGCAGGATGAATAAATGAAGTGGTGGGCGACATTCAATTTGCCTTTGTGTCTGGAAACAAGATAACGGATTGCGCCCTCATTGCCAACGAAGTCGTTGATGATGTAATTAGAAGGAAGAGGAAAGCTGCCAGTTTGAAAGTGGAATTCAGAAAGGCTTATGATACAATTGACTGGAATTTCCTTGATATCGTCATGAGGAAAATGAAGTTCGACCCAAGATGGAGAAAGTGAAATAGGCTATGTATTTCATCCGCTTCAATTTCAGTGTTGGTGAATGGCGCTCCTTCGAAGAGGTTCAAGATAAAGAGAGGGATGAGGCAGAGTTGCCCTTTGTCCCCCTACTGTTTAACTTGATTGGGGAAGCTTTAAGTTGTCTATTTAAGAAAGCATAGGAAGCAAATCTGGTCAAAGGCGTTAGGGTGGGAAATTATGAAGTCAATCTCGCACATTCGGTTTGCGAATGATTTGTTGGTGTTCTCAGAGGCGAACGGGGAATCGCTAGTGATTGTGAAGAGAGACAGATTATTTGAAGTGGCTGCAGGACTTCTACTTAATTTGGATAAATCAAGGCTGAGGATAAATGTGGACGTAGATAATATCGCGGACTGGGCTTCAATCATACAATGTAGGCAGGACAGTCTACCTATTTCATACCTTGGCCTCCCAATTGGCAACCGAAGGAATTCGACAGCGTTATGGAGTCTAATCATTGACAAAGTCTAGACTCGGCTCGCGGGGTGGAAAGGAAAACTATTATCATTCAGAGGTAGGATTACTTTGATTCACTCGGTTCGCATTGTTCAAAATGCCTATATCGGTGGAATTGATGATGAGGTCTTTGATATCAAATTTTTTATGGGATTCAATCGATGGAAGGCCTATTCATTGAGTGAATTGGGAGCAAGTTTGCAAACTAAACTGCCTAGGTGGGCTTGGTTTGGTTGATCTTCGATTGAGAAATCGTTCCCTTCTAAACATGAGGGTGTGGAGTACGGTAAGGAACCCAATAACTTGTGGAGAAGGTTTGCGAGTGCGAGGAACGAGTATCAGCAGAATGCGGTGCTTCCTTGAGTGATTCCGGCTGGGAAAATGTCTTGGGAGTGGAGAAATATATATCAATCGTTGGGCGAATGCAACAACTTAATAGCAAGCAAATTCCGCCTAGTGGTGGGAGATGGATTAGGTATAGATATTTGGAACAGTTTTTGGACTGAAGCACCATTGCTGAAATCCTTTTTTTCTCATGATTTTTGGCATAGTAATTAGTTTCGCCGCCTATGGGATCCAAACCAAAGCTGAGTTCTGTACAAGCATTATTTTATTCAATTTTTTGATTCTATGCATTTTGCTTTGAAACGGTCAAAG